CCTCCTCCTCCTCGCTCCTCCTCCTCCTCCTCCTCCTCCTCCTCCTCCTCCTCCTCCTCCTCCTCCTCCTCCTCCTCCTCCTCCTCCTCCTCCTTGCTCGCTTCTCCCCCTCGCCCCCCCTCTTCCGATCTTTGCAGCGCTGCCCTCTCTGAGCGGAGGTCCCTCGAGAAGGCGGCGGCGGTGGCGGGGGGAGGGAGAGAGCCGCCGCCGCAGGAGTGGCTCAACCCCACGACGAACCAGAGGCCCCGCGCGGCCGATGGGGGGAGCCATCGTGGTGACGACGACGACGACGACGACGACGACGACGACGACGACGACGACGACGACGACGACGACGACGACGACGATGGCCACCTTGCAGGCCAGGCGAGCCCTTTTGGGGCCATCATGGATGCAGTCGCTTGGGATCCACAACTGGGGGTCAGCGCCCAGGGGCTGCCCGGGGCCACCACGAGGGTGCGAAGTTCACGGCGCGCTTCGCGGTCTTGGCGGTTTCAGAGCGAGGCGCGAATCCCGCATCCAAAGCGTGAGGATACTGGCGCATCGCGGAGCGTGGAGCGCGAAGATGGTTGCCCAAGAGGTTGGAGCCGGCTCGGGGGCCGAGGTGGTCCAGGACTGTTCCCGGCACGCAGAATGGGAAGAAGAAGAAGAAGTTGGGCCCCCTCGTGGCCGCTGCCCGAGTAGCTTGTAAGTGTTTCGACCTTGTGAGGGGTCCAGAAACAGATTTTGAGGCGACTGGCCCTCGTCCCCCGCTCTTGACAGATGTTATTTGGGCTTATCCGGCACAGTCCCCCGAGCCGCTTCCGAGCTGGGGGACACATTGGGCCAGGGCCACTCCTAGCAGTAAGTCGGGCATGCCACTCTGCAGGAGGACAATACAATAATAGTCAAAACATAGTCTGGGGACGATGCTTCTTGTTTCTAGTTTCGTTTCATTTTTGTAACTTGTTTCTTCCTCTTTCAACATCCGCCTGTAGGAAGACATACCCGACCTCATCCCAGCAGCCTGAAGCGCTGATTTCCATCCAGTGTTTCGTGTGCGTCAGCTGCGCAGTTCGTAGGCTACAGATAACATGACAGCGGCTTGTCAGCGTACGAAACAGATGTCGAACGCTCACTGTATGAGCACGTCGATTTGCGGCAGGATTCAGAATGCCGCCCCAAGTAGAAGTGGACCTAAGACGCACGCTTACGCAGGCTTGTATGTCCGGCACCCTGGTGGTATTACATGCACCTTGCTTCCCGCCGCGTCTGAAATTGGAGTCGCCTACGCACTACTTCATCTCAGTTCGGACCTACGATTGCGTTCAGAAATGAAGGATCGAAAGGAGAGCATGCTTGCGACTCAATCTTTAGAAACACCCTAGGCGGACGCCGAAATCCTTAGACATGTCAGCGTTTGCGGCTACTTCCTGCAGTGAATTGCGTTAAGAAGTGCACAATTCTCAGTTCAACCATCCATTATCGAGAGCCTATCGCCGATCGATCGGCGATGTATCGCCAATCACAGGTTGACGTTTCCCCCCTGGGCCAGTCCTCCCCCCCACATTGACCCTCGGTCCCTCTCCCCATCCTCGCCTTCTCTTCCCTTCCCTCTGCTCAGCCTCCCCCTCGTCCTTTCCCCTCCTCCGCCGGGTCCCCGTCCTCCAGCTCATCCTTCTGCGTCTCGTTTCGCTGGGCAGCTCGCCCCACCTGTCCCTGCGTGCCCCAGAAGGCTCGCGGCGACCGTCTCCACCGGCTACGTCGTCAGCCACCTTGGCTACGCTGGGGAGCTGCCCACGGCGGTCAAGTGATCAGGAGGGCGATGGGCGGCAGAGGGAGGTGCGTTGAGTCAACAGTTGTTGGCCTTCGAGACGGCCCCTCGTCGCCGCTGTTGGACGCGGCTCGGACACGTGCTGCGTTTGGACCCTGGGAAGGATCCAGCCGACCGATTTTGGGTTGCCGTTGTCTCAACCCGCCCTTTCCGAGGAAGGGGCTTGGAAATTCGAAACGCGAGGGGTCCCTCGCCATGAAGGACATGGGGTCCGGAGGGAAACAGGTCCTGGACCCCAGCGGGGGCTGTCCCCAGATCCAGTTGCTCATACTAAGTTGTTGTTTGAACGGCCCCGGGGGGCATGTCTTGTTCGTGTTTGTTGTATGTTCTTGTGCATCCCGGGGGAGGGCACCCTCGAATGTTCTTCAGTTTGGGTCGGTGGGGGGGGGTCGCATGTTCTTGAAGGATGTGCTTCTGTCCTAGGTCCGACCGTACCTATGTTCTGGGAGGAGGAGGAGGAGACAGAGGAGGATGCTCGTTGAGATATGCCTCAGCGGGTGGCAGGAACTTTTGTCGTCCGCTTTCGGCTTTCGTCGATGCTCATGTGGGGCGCGCGAGGTCGCCCAGGGGTTGGCGCGCGGATGCATGTAGTCACGGCGCGTAAGGGCTGTGAACAGTGTGCAGGAGTAGGTGCAGATGATCATGCAGCCATGGAGGAAATTCAGGAAGAACAAATGGCATACAGTCTAGACGCGAAGGTAAAGAACAGCTTGGGTTCGGAAGGGGCCCGATGCTCCTCAAGTCCTTCCATGGCTGTTTTTCTAACCCTTGTGCACGCATGCGCTTTTAGGGTCGAGAAGGGGCTTCGTTCCTATCTAATGGCCTTCGGCCCGTCCACCGTCTCTGGGTTGTGGGTCAGAGCACTGAGGGACGCTTCTTGTGGTCTTTTCGGGGCGCCTTCGGGCCCCTCTTGGGGGCCGTTGGGGGCCTCTTTGGGGCCTGTTTGGGGCCTCTTGGGCCCCTCTTGGGGGCTCTTGGGCGCCTCCTGGGGCCTTTTGGGGGTCAGGGGCCTCTTGGGAGCCTCTTGGGACCACCGCGGATCCAAGAACTCTCGCGGACCTCCAGATGTTTTCTCCTCCCTTCCTATAGTTCGTTTATTGTGTCTGTGGGTCAGGTGTTGATGACGCTTTCGCCAAATTAATTCATTTGAGAATATCAGAGTGAGGGGGCCGAACGGTCATTCACTGTCCCTGGGTGCGTGGCTGTAATGGGATTCCGCGGTGCGGATTCGTGTTGTTGTTGTTGTTGAACATTATTACTTCTAAAGAATAATTATTGTTGGGGCCCCTGGTGCACGACCCCCCCGCCGCGCCTAGGCCGCAGCCTCATTTCCATCATTTTCGTGAGGAAGTCTCAGGCAAAACGGGTTGGTCCGGATCCGGTTGTGTTGTCACGATCGGTTTTCCCTTGTAAAAAATAAGCTAAAGTGGACATTTCTTGTTCTAACACAACCAAACTTCAAGAATCCCTTGCAAAAAATAAGGTAAAGTGGACATTCGCGCGCGCAAGACGAAATCCTTCCAAAACCTTAGTGTTCGTAGCGATTTTAACATAAAAACATCAAAAAACCAATGGTTTTTCAACAAAAAATTGTCAAAATCTCATCCCGCGCGCTCTTGCGGATTCGTAGGAAACCCAACACTTTTTAAACATTTCTGTCAAACGGGCTTTTGCGAGCAACTTTTTCGAACTTCTGCAACAACGGTTGCGCACCTGCCAGGGCCATCATCCCTGTCAAATAATACCATGCGGGACACATTCGTTTTTTCTTCGCGCGCGCACGCCGTCGTCGTCGGCCGCGGGGCCCTGAATAGTAGCCACGGTCGTCCGCATGCCACGAAGTGAAGTGTCCGAACGTCATAGGGCGGGAAGCTGGGTGTGGGTGGTGGCGAAGAGTCGTTTGGAAATTTGGTAGAGCTTGAACCGGCCCCCCCACAAAGTGGGGGTATTGCCCGCCTCCTGTGAAAACCCTGGCACTGGTGAGAACGGTGTGTCCCCACGTGCTAGTAATTGTTGTTGTTGTTGTTGTTGTTGGTGGTGGTGTTGTTGGTGTTGTTGGTGCTGTTGTTGCTGTTGTTGTTGTTGGTGTTGTTGGTGTTGGTGTTGGTGTTGTTGTTGTTGTTGTTGTTTGTTGTTTGTGTTGTTGTTGTTGTTGTTGTTTGTTGTTGTTTGTTTGTGTTTTTGTTGTTGTTGTAGTTTGGTGTTTGTTGTTTATTGTGTGTTTGTTGGTGTTGTTGGTGGTGTTGGTGTTGGTGTTGGTGTTGTTGTTGTTGTTGTTGTTGTTGTTGTTGTTGTTGTTGGTGTTGTTGTTGTTGTTGTTGTTGGTGTGGTGGTTGTTGTTGTTGTTGTTGTTGCTGTTGTTGTTGTCGTTGTCGTTGTCGTTGAACATTATTACTTCTAAAGAAATATTATTGTTGAGACCCCTGGTGCGCGACCCCCCTCCAAAACCTAGGCCGCAGCCTCATTTCCTTCATTTTCTAGCGAAAGCTCAGAAAAGTGGATTGTGTCCGGATCCGGTTGTTTTGTTGTAATCCGTTTTCCCTTGCAAAAAACACTATAAAATGAAAATTCTTGTTCTTACTTGATCAAATTGCAAGAATTCCTTGCAAAAAATAAGGTAAAGTGGGCATTCGTGCGCGCAAGACGAAATCCTTCCAAAACCTTAGGTTTCGTAACGATTTTAACATAAAAACATCAAAAACCCAATGGTTTTTTAAGAAAAAATTGTCAAAATGTCCTTCCGCGCGCTCTTGCGGATTCGTAGGAAAACCAACACTTTTTAAACAATTCTGTCAAACGGGCTTTTGCGAGCAACTTTTTCGAACTTCTGCGACAACGGTTGCGCACCTGCCAGGGCCATCATCCCTGTCAAATAATACCATGCGGGACACATTCGTTTTTTCTTCGCGCGCGCACGCCGAAATCTCCAAAAACCATTGGGTTTTTAAGAATTTTAGCACCGCGCATCATAAAATCACACGAATCGCACCGTAGGTCCTCGAAAAACACCTGCACGACTTTTCAAAATTTCCACCCGCGCGCGCTGTCCGAATCCTAAAAAAACCAATGGTTTTCCAACATTTATGTTACATGAGCTCGCGCGAGCTACTTTCGCACGCTCTTGCAACGGGGTTCGCGCGCCTGCCAGGGGCCATAATCCCTTGCGGTTGCGCCATAGGTTGCGCCAAAGTGACCAAGTTCTGTGGGTGTGTACCCCACGCCAGTGTAGTAGCCACGGTCGTCCGCACGCCACGAAGTGAAGTGTCCCAACGTCATAGGGCGGGAAGCTGGGTTTGGGTGGTCGCGAAGAGTCGTTTGGATATTTGGTAGAGCTTGAACTGCCCCCCCACGAAGTGGGGGTATTGGCTGGCGTCGCATGAAAACCCTGGCACTGGTGAGAACACTGAGCGTTCGGGTAAAATTGTTGTTGTTGTTGTTGTTGTTGTTGTTGTTGTTGTTGTTGTTGTTGTTTGTTGTCGTCGTCGTCCACCCGCAACCCGCCCCGCAACCCACCCGCGACCCACCCCGACGCGACCCACCCACCCGCGACCCACCCCGACCCACCCGACCCACCCCGCGACCCACCCCGCGACCCACCCCGCGACCCACCCCGCGACCCACCCCACGACCCACCCGCGACCCACCCGCGACCCACCCGCGACCCACCCGCGACCCACCCCGCGACCCACCCGCGACCCACCTTCGACCTAAACCACGTTCAAGGTACAAACCACCATTTTCGGCGCCTGCGGCTGGCTTTTTTGCATTCCTTCCAGGTGGAGAACCCGCGACCCACCCCGCGACCAACTCGCGACCAACCCGCGACCCAAACCACGTTCAGGGTACAAACCACATTTTTCGGCGCCTGCGGCGGGCATCTTTTACATTCGCTTCAGGTGGAAAGCCAGCGGCCCACCCGCGACCTCGTTCAGGGTACACCCATTTTTTGTCGGCGCCTGCGGCGGGCATCTTTTGCATTCGTTCCCGGTGGAGAACCCGCGGCCTACCCGCGACCCAAACCACGTTCAGTATACAAACCAATGTTTGTCGGCGTCGGGCTGCTTTTGCATTCCTTCCAGGTGGAGGTGGAGAACCCGCGACCCACCCGCGACCCAAACCACGTTCACTGAACGAACCAATGCCGCACAAGCGCGGCGGCGGATTTTTGCATGCCGTCTGAGCCCGCAACGACCTCTTCAAACCCCGCGCATCCACACCAGCCCGTCCAGCAACTTTGCCCTGGCGAGTTGCCTCGATCTGAGAAGTCGGGGGGCATAAGGTGGAAAAAAGGATTGCGTTGCCGTTATCTTGGGAAAGGAGGGGAGGCAGGAGGAGTAAAAAGGGGACGAGGAGGACGCGGAAGAAGAGAGGATGTAAGGAGAACGTGGAGAAAGAGAAGGAGGAGGAGGACGAGGAGGGGGAGGAGGGGGAGGAGGGGGAGGAGGAGGACGAGGAGGGGGAGAACGGGGAGGAGGGGGAGGAGGGGGAGGAGGATGATCATGGACGACAATGGGAGGACGATGATGGAGGCCGATGAGGGGGAGGACGATGATGGGAGGACGATGATGGAAGGACGAGAGGGGGAGAGGGAGGACGAGGAAGAAGAGGAGGAGGAGGAGGACGAGGTGGACGAGGAGGATGACGATGACGATGAGGACGAGGACGAGGACGAGGAAGAGGAGGAGGAGGAGGAGGAGGAGGAGGAGGGCGCCATCGACAGGGAAGGTGGGGGCCACGAGGTCCGCCGGCTCGACGACGCCCGCGTCGCCCGCGCCCGCCCCCTCACTCTTACCCGCAATTGCGGGGTGCTACGTATTGCCGATATCTTACCGAATCTCGATAGCACACCGAGGGCATACGGTGGTTCACCAAAGGGATCGTCGCCAAAATACAGATTAGTGTCAACGTACCGTCGCCGCATATAAGGTTGCGGCACGTACGAAACTGGCAGGTTGTGTACGCAGTGCGTTGGTTCTGTATCGTCGGACCTGGTGACCGTAACAGAGCGACCCAGGGCATGAAACGCCAGTCCTGGGGAAAGCCTTCGAGTCTCCTTTTTGCGGATCACGCCGTGTCCGGGGGGCCACCGTCATCGAAGGACGACGAGGACATCGTTGATCTGATAAGGCGAGCTGATGTTTGGAGGAGAGAGATGACAGAAGTGGGTCATTGGTCAATTGATGACTTGCACTGTGGAAGGGCAGGCTTTCACCACGCTGTCGCACCAGTCGATCATGCAATTCACGATGCCTATGGTCTTGGATCCCAGAAGATTGAATGTTTGAATGTTTCAATGAAGCTTGCTTCAATCCGATAACCGATAATTCCCGAGCGGGATGTCAGGCAGACGCGGAGCAACACATGTTGCTTTGTGATTGCGATTCGGTGAACGGCACCGGTCTCTCATGTGCATTCATTATATTCGACCCGCGCTGGATCATACCATTGATTGTCAGACGCATCATGTGACAAATTTGCAGTATCCTGCCAGCAATGAGAATCCCAGAATTTGCCACATTCTACTCGTGCTGAGTGTGCACGCGCGTGCGCGTGCGCATGCACAGGGACCTTGCCCATTTCCCTCGTAGACCACCGTTCGGGCGGGAAGTTGGTTTGCGAGTGGCGTCGCGCGGATTGGCCATCTCGCCTCACATTTGGCGATCGTACCATGCACCGTCCTGCTGATTTGCGAACCATGTAGCTAGCCATGTGACGTCTCATCTAGCTAAAGCATTGCATCCTGATCCAGAGGTGGATTTGGGCGTGCCCTGCGCCCTGCGGGAAGCCGGGGCGGGAGCGCCGTGACAGGGGCATCTTGCGGTGACGATTGGGCTGTGACGTGTTGTGAGTTCCACCCTACGTGCTAAACATTTCCATCCTGTATATATATATACACATACATATCGGAGGTTGAGAGGTGAGTCCGATTTGAATCGGAGACCCCTCCCACCGGGAGATCGATTTCGGGTTCGGGTTCGTGTCGTGCGTGCCGATTTCGGGTTCGGGCTCGTGTCGTGCGTGCCGTGCGTGCGCGCGTGCGGGCGAGGCGAAGCTGCGTGGGCGGGCGAGGGGAGATTCTCCTGTGGCTGGGCCGCGGCCAGACCAAGGCAACCGGTGGCCCGCGGTGTCCCGCTGGTGTCCCGCCGGTGTCCCGCTGGTGCCCCAATGCAAATCGGCATGCAAATCCATAGCAAATCCATGTGCAAATCGTAAGGCTCCGTGGGTATCGACATGCAGATCCATAGCACATCCATATGCAAATCGTAAGGCGCCGTGGGTTGCGTATTTAAATGTTCGGCGCCTGCGGCGAGGTTTGTCTAGATGCAAATCGAAATGCATATCGAAAAGCAACTCGACATGCACATCGATAAGCAAATGCAAATGAAAATCGAAAGGCACATCGTCATGGCGTGCTGCATGCTGTGCCGTCGTTGTCGCCGTCGGACCGCAGCCCATCGCGGTTCTGCCTTCGGAGAGTCCGTCCGAACCTTCGGCCGGTTGCGCCCTCATGGCTGGTGCCGCCCGCATGTTCAGACATGCCCTGGTGTCCCGTGGTGGCCCGTGGTGTCCCGTGGTGTCCCGTTGAGTAAGATCGATAGTGAGATCGATCGTGAGATCGACCATTGTCCCGTGGTGTCCCGTTAAATGAGATCGATGGTGAGATCGAGTGAGTCAGATGTTGGTCCGCCCCCTCTCCCCCCCACACAACCTCCTTATCACCCGAAGGGTGGTCGTATAGGTATATATATATATATATATATGCATGTATACATATATATAGCCTTTTTTTATCTGCTCGTCTGAATCGATATTGCATCCTTACATAGACACGCATGCTCCATAGTGTCGCGTTCCGAATTCCAAAGAAATGGCCATTCTCTGTTTAGTGGCAGTCGGCCCATCCAGCCACCGTGCCTGCGTTGTGGGCCATAGGCCCCTAGGATGTTCGTTGGGATGTCGCGGGTGGCCTCTTGGGGACCGTTAGGCCGAGGCCCCCGAAAACATGCAAGAACCTATGGAATAACAAATGCGTTCGATTTCTCCGGAGCCCTCTTGGGGCGCCTCGGGGCCTTCGTGGGCCATGTGAGCTACCCCGTGGAATCCCGGGCAATCCTGGAGTCCTTGTGAAACCTTGCATCGTTTTACTCTCAGGACTGCCTGAGCCCTTGATCACTCCACTACTTGATGAAGGCACGCTGGTGGATCTATACGTGGCTGTTGACATCTTAGCGAACCACACACACACACTAATACGTAGCGGTATGCGTATGCACTTACATTCACGTGTTTGGTAGTTGCGATGTGGGTCCTTTGCGCGGTCGGGACAGCTGAGGGACACATCTGAGCTGATGTAGGTACAAGGAAATAAAGGAGGGGCGCGGTGGAAGGGGGGGCGGAAACTGCGGGGGTCGGAGCACGCTCAACGTGCGTGCCAGAGCACAGGCATACACAGATAGAGAAAATCGCGCCATGGTAAGGGATGGGAGGGAGGGGTAGGATGTCAGATGTTCACGCGAGCGCACCTAACTTGTCATTCCCCCCCCTCCCCCTCCTCCTCCTCCTCCTCCTCCTCCTCCTACTCCACTCTGCTGGTTCATCATCATCCTTCTCGTCCAGCCACAGCTCGCCCCCCTGCTCCAAACGCGACAACTGAGATGCCAGGTGGCGTTCTTTCGAGGCGACCCCACTTACATAAACACACGTGCGTGCATACTTGAGTAGATGGGACGGGGCGTGCGGATCGCGACAGGCGGGTATACGCATCAGTGACCCTTGCGGCGGCGAGGGCTCTTGGCGGCCCTCCGCACTGGCCCCAGGACAGCCTTGGCGGACCCCGAGAAGCGCCCAGGAGGGTTTAAAGGAGCTCCTAGCCGGCCGCGGGCGCGCTCACAACGGCCAGCCAGCTCTTCTGCGCCGTATTGGGACAATACGGGGGGCGTCTTGGGCCGCCGTCGGCTGCCAGAGACCCGAACAGACGAGGGCACCAAGCCCAAGCAAACACCATTCGGAGATCAACGTGTTTGCACTGGAAGGCGTTCTCGGAGGTCCTCTTGAAGCCCGGTCAGGTCATCTGCGGGGGGCCTTAAGGGGATAAGGGGTTATAGTTGCAGACTTTCTTATAGCTATGGTGTTCCAACCTACTTCAGCCTTGATGACCAGAAAGAATTTCGAGCACCAGGACAGTACCGAAACTTAAGGGTTTTCACGTGCCGGGCCCTGGGAAACACTCGTGCGACACTGTTTCGACACTCTTTCGGCACTCTTTCGGCACTCTTTCGACACTTCTCCAGGTGCTCGAATGTGGTCCTTAAGTACGATGGGAGCAACACAAGCTTATAGGTCGGCTGCATTTGCCCACAGTGGTTTACGGAGACGGGCTGGGTGGGCGGAATCCGCTTAGCGGAGACATCTGATCACTCTAAGCCATGTGTGGAATTTGTAGCCCGTTTGTAGAGCGTTCATAAGCTAGGATTGGCCAGTAGTCACCCACCATCGCATCCACCTTCCAAGCCCTCCTATCCCCCAGGCAACCCCAGCGGTGATTTCAAGAAGACATCCGAGAGCGGTTCCCAGGGTAAACACATTGATTTCCGAATGATGCTTGCTTGTTTTCGGCGTTCTCGCTTTTTCGAGTTTCTTGCAGCCGACGACAGCCCTAGAGGTCCCCCGAGTGGCTCAAGAAGGGCCAGCAATTGCCTCAAGACGGCGCAGGCGAGCTCACAGGCGGCTCAAGGAATGCCAAGACGAGCCCAAGAGGAACCCAAGGGCGCCCCGAGGCATGCTCAGTACCGCCCAAGGTGATCCCACGACTGTTTCAAGAGGCGCTACGTCGGCGCAGACAGGCCCCTGATGCCTGAAACGCCACAAGGCGGCCCATGGGGCCACAGGAGGGCCCAACAACGGCCCCAAGAGACACCCAACAGGGCCTTGCAATTTCCTGCCCAGAAAGAAGTCAGCCACACTTTGTTGTACTCCAATGCGGCCCCCGTGGGCTGGCAGCTGCTTGGGCCCACCGCCACCGAGGTCGATTGGCGCCTCCACAGCTGCGCTGTTCCGTCCTCATGTGGCCCACGAAGGGCCCGTGGGGGTTCGTAGGACTCGCAGGGCTAGCCGGTGTCAGCGGGGTCGTGAGCTTCATGTGGCCGTACAGGGTGGCCGTAGAACTGACAGGGCTGATAGGGAGCGTTTGGCGCACATGGCCCCTAGGGGTTGCTGGGGTCATAGGCTTTCAGTCGACGCGGGGGGTTGCTGGTTGCTGGGGTGATAGGTCAAATGTTGCTGGTTGCAGGGGTGATAGGTCAAAGGGCTCGTAGGGCTTTCAGTCGACGTGGTTTGGAGGGCCGCAACGAGGGTCGATCCTATTCCGGGTCCGCCCGACCTGCCCGCCTGGCCCGCCTGCCCGCGCGATCCTCTCGTCAAGCTCGTCGTCGAAGGCCTGCACGTGTTGGCGTCGTCGTCGGCGTCGTTGGCGACGGCAGCGGCCACGCCCAACGTCGGCACCGTAAGATGTTCGGAGTTGCGCAGCGGCACGGAGGATTCAAGCACAAAGTAACGTCGAACAGCTTGTATGTTCAGATTACAGTTTGTTTTGTGGTTCGCCCGTGGGCCATGTCCAGGGCAGCATACATGCTGAACCACCTCTTTCTTATAGGGGCAGCGAGAGGGGGGGATGGGCATAGGGGGGGATGCATCGACCCCCGCTGGCCCATCGATCACCGACAGGGGCCCGATAGCCCCAGCCTGCCCAGGGGGGTGCGGATTCACTATCGAGGGCCTGTCGCCGATCTCTCGGCGATGTATATCGCCGATTCGAGGTCGACGCCCCCCCCCCCTCTTTGCCAGCCCCCTCCCCCTACCGCTGCCCCTCCCTCTGCCGAGCACCAGGCGCTGGTGCTTGTACCTTTATCGGGGGAGCGTAAGACCCGGGTTTGCCGGGACTCGGGTTCGCCATCGTTTTTTGACGACCGCGACTCGGATTTTGACGAGGAGGAGTTTCGTGGGATGTCTGCAGCGGGAGGCCTCGTCAAGATGCAGGCTCGGCCTCGTCATTTTTTTGACGACCTCGTCGGGGATTTCCGAGTCCCCCGTAGCCGGGTCTTACGTCTCCCCGACTTTAGGCTCGCCGCGCGCGGGGGCGCCGCCCCCCGAAAACTTCGGCGCGGCGCCGACGCGGGCGCTCTGCGCGGAGCGGCGGCGGGGCGCCCCTGGAGACCACGGCCACCCCTGCCCGGCGTGCCTCTCGCTCGCCTCGGGGGCACCCCCCCCCCTCGGAGGCCCCACGTCGCCACGGCTGCGGCCGCCTCGACCGGAGGAGGAGGAGGAGGAGGAGGAGGAGGAGGAGGAGGAGGAGGAGGAGGAGCGTGCCCCGAGAGAGGGGCCCGCAGGGGAGGCTCCCAAGGGGGGGGGCGCGGGCCGGGCGCGCATCCCGCGCCCGCCAGGGCATGCCCCCGAGGCCTCCTCGTCGCCACGTCCGGAGCCGCCTCGGCGGGCGGGCCTCGGACGGACCCTGGAGAGGGGCCTCGGATGGAAGGGGGTGTGGGCCTGGCCGGAGCCGCCGCCGTCTCGATGGGCCCCGCCCTGGCCTGCCGCTGCTGCCCGGAGGCGATGCAGGCTGTCGCCCAGGCCTCGCCGAGTGCGCCGACTTTCTCGGCGCGCTCCGGTTCATGGAAAAGGCGGGCCAGGCCTGCGCGGTGCGACTCGCAGTTCTGGCGTCTGCGGTCGCTTGCTCCTCTTCCGCGGGGACGGGGCGGACTCCGCTGCAACTCGACGCGAGGGAGGGGGAGGGAGTTGGATCGAGCGGGATCTTGCAACGAGCGTAGCGAAGTCCCACCAGCGCTTCCGCTTGGGAGTGGGAGGGAGTTGGATCGAGCGGGATGTTGCAACGAGCGCAGCGAAGTCCCACCAGCGCTTCCGCTTGCTCGACCAGTACGTTCGACATGGTTTTCGGCGCCAGCGCCCCCATGCTGGGCATGCGCGAACTCGCAGGGCCGGCCTCGGAATGCCCAGATCCCCCTCGGGGCCGTCGAGGGCCCATCGGAGCCCGCCCGGGCCCCTCTCGGGGGCCCTCTCATTGGACCAGCTCAGGGCCATCTTGAGGCATCGGAGGCCAGAAAGGGGAGAAGGCCAACACACATTTACCATTATCTCTCTGGTGGAGGAAGAAGAACAAGCGGCATCAGCATGCGGTTTCGACGCGCTCCCCCCGTCTCGGATCTGCGCTGGGCCCCCCCCCCCCCGGCGGCGCTCCGTGCGCCAGGGAGGGGGCTCGGCACTGCTCGAGGAACTCCGTGCGAACCTCCGGCAGCTGGTGATTCTGCAATTCCTTGCTGCTCGAAATCTCACCGGGCGCGTTCGACTACTCGCAGAGTGCCCACTCCAGATTTCGTAATAAAAGGGAGGGGGTCTGGACCCTCCAAGACAAGCCATTTCAGACCTCCCCCGTGGGAGAACCCTCCAAAACATCGTCCCCAGACCCCCCCAGGCCCTCCAAGATAGCCTGGAAGAGACCCCCCCCGAAATGAGACCCCCCTCCCTTTATTACGAAACCTGGAGTACTCGCAAGCGCCCGAAAGGCACATGCCTGCTTCGATGTTATTTATCGTAGATCCCCCGCGGCGGATCCAGGCGATTTGCGAGTATAGCTACATTGCAAGTAGCGGAACGCGTTCGTCTTAAATCTAAAAATCTATTTTTGATGGGCGGGGCATCCGAAGAGGCCCTTTGGGCAACCTCGGAGCATGCTGGGGTCTCCTTGCAGCGTCCCAGAGCCAGGCTGGAGAAGTGGGAGACCTCTGGCCCAATTTGGGCAATATTGCGTATTGCTGGAAGCCATCTTGGAGGAAGTTTGGACAACAATAGATGCTCCAACTCCTGGCGAGCTCGCTTGTCCAGACCCCGGAGGGGTTGGGGGGTGCAACACTCCTTCCCGAAGGAGATGAACAGGTTGTTTTAGAAGAGCTGCCACCCTAGACCACCTACGCCCAGCGAGCTGGTGAGACATTGAGCAAAATCCTCCACTGCCGCCGGCCCCCTTGCCCCAGGCCTTGGAAGTTTCGGGCTCTTGGGTACGTTCTTCGGGCTCGTTGAACTTGTTTTTCAAGTGCTCGGAGCTAGCTGGGACCAGTCGCGCATCGATGATATCCGGTTGCGTGGATCTTCCACAAGGGCAGTTCGATCTACGTTTTTCGAGTGTTTGGGGTCCTTCTTTGTTGACGTTGGGCGCAGGAGGAGGCGGCAGGAGGAGGCGGAGGGGCAGGAGAACGGGGACGCACTGAGGGGGGGTTGAGGGCCTTGAGGTTCGTCGTCTCGGGTTCGGAATCAGGACGGGGGCCGCCACTGCGCGCGAACCCCCTGCCAGGAGCCTCAGATGTTTCTACCACTCTTCGTCGTACTCCCAGTCTTCGACATCATCTGCCACCCCTCCTCCCGCCAGTCTCATTCTCCCCCTCCTCTCTCATCCCACCATCCACGCTCACCCCTTTCCCTTCTGCAACCTTGCCCTCCTTGTCCCGCTGCCATCCTCTGACGTGTCGCAAACCTTGATCATTGTGGTGTTCCCTCGCGGTGATGTTGCCGTTGAGACCCCGAACAACTCCCTTCTTCCTCGTCATCCTCGTCTCGGGTCGGGCGAAACGGTGGGGATCAGGGCAAGGGATGGCCTACGAAATTTGCTGCATGCAGCTGGTTTCTGCTTCGCCACCGTGCCTTCCTCGACACATTTGCGCTTCCGGCGCCGGGAGGCGCAGGGAAACTTAGCTGTGTGAGTGAGTTGATTCTCTGAGCCCCCTCTACTATCCCCCCCTTGCGGCTGACCCGATGGTCCTCTTCCTCCGCTGCTTCCTCCTCGCCCTCCTCGTCCTCCCAGCCCTCGTCCCGGTGACGGATTGCGCTCAAGAAGTTGCTCAGTCAAGACGTTGAGACGAGAACCATTTTGCGCTCAGGAGAAGGGGCCCTGGCTGCTGCACCGCTCCTTCTATCTAGGTCGGGGGGCCTATTCGTGACCGAGGCTGGCCGAGGCCAGAACAGCCAGGCTGTTCCTTCCTTCCTCGGCACCTACTATGGTACGGTAGGTTCGTGTCGTGTCGACCAGCGGCGACCCCAGCGCGGACGTTCAAGGTTGAACGCCGCCGGCGACCCAGAATCGATCGATGTTGAACGATCGGACGTTGCGGCGGCGGCCGATCGTTCAAGGTTGAACCATCCCTGCGGTGTCAAAAACCAACGCTGGGGTCGGCACGACACGAACCTGCCGTAGGAGGGTGGATGTGGTATCTCTGGACGTGCAGGAGGAGATCCGGGCCTGCCAAGCTTGGCCACGGACCGCAGCGCGTCGGCGTGCAGCACGACCGGGAGCTTGAAGGAGGACGAGGAGGAGGAGGAGGAGGAGGAGGAGGAGGAGGAGGAGGAGGAGGAGGAGGAGCAGAGGAGGCAGAAGAGGAGGCGTCTTGAGGCCCTCCGAGTGGCCTCGAGAGGGCTTCCTGGCAGCCTCTTCGGGCATCTGAAGGGTCTACTGGGGGGCATCCCGGGGCAAATCGGGGGGCCTCCTAGGGCCTTTGGGGGGCTTCTGGGAAGCGCTTGGTCTTCGGAGGCCGTCTTGGGTCCCTGTCTGGGCAGTTGTGGGTCCATCTTGGAGCAATTTCGGGCCATCTTGGAGGTCTGTGGGGCCGTCTTGGGGTCGTCTTGGGAGCCTCGTGGGCCGTCTTGGGACCCTCATGGGCCGTCTTGCGGGCCTCTTGGGTGCTCTGGGGCAATTTTAGTGGCATATGGGGCCGTCTTGGAGCGTCGGAAGCCCGAAAATCCGAGAACGCTAGAATCATAGAAACACCTAAAGATGCATCGAACGTTTGGGTTTCCTGGAGGCTCTCGGAGGCCTCTTGGGGCCTCTTGGGGCCCTCTTTGGGCCGTCTTAGGGGGCCGTCTTGGGCTGTCTTGAGGCCATCTTTGGCCATCTTGGGTGCATCTTGGGCAGTCTTGGACACACATTGCGGTCACCTTGGGCTCTCCTGGGGTCGTGTTGGTCGTCTCTGAGAACGTCTCAGCCGTCTTGAAGGTCATCTTGTGGCCATCTCAACGAGGGAGGATAATGGAGAACGCATTTTCCAGGTGGCCGGCGGGTTAGGCCGAGACCCTTTAGGGAACCTTGAAGCAAAACAACATTTGCTAAACTTGAGTACGTTGTGCACCCCTGTGGCAAGCACAGGGGGCGGCGGATCGAAGACGCCTACGGCGAATCACCGCCGCCACCTGCCTTTTTGGGAAGCGCCTCTGTGGCCAAACGTTTGGCGAGAGCTTGGCCAAGCTATCGGAAAATTATTCCCTCAGCCGCTCTGGAAACTCTTCGGGGAACACTTGAGGGAGGATGAGGGGGGGGATCAGGAGATGGACGAGGAGGAGGAGGAGGAGGAGGCCTCTTGAGAGCTTCTTGGGGCTCTGTTGGGGCCTTTGGGAGCTTCCGCACGATCTCTTGGAGGCCTTTTGGGAGCCTCCTTGGGCCTCCTCGGGGCCTTTGGGGGCCTCATTGGCCGTCTTAGTGCGTTCCTGACGGCGTCTGACGCCGTCGGAAGCCGTCTTGGGGCCTCCCTCTACCGACTTGGGTCCCTTCGGGGGCGATTCAGGCCCGTCTTGGAACCTTTCTCGGGCGTCTTGTAGGCCTCTGGGCCTCTTGGGGCCGTCTTGGGGGACTCTTGAGCCGTCAAATTGCCATTTTGGAGCCTCTTGGGCGATCTTTGGGGCCTCTTGGGCCGTCTTGAGCCGTCGGAAGACCCAAACGAAGCACATGCCCACATCGCTTAAAAACCTACGGGTCATAAACAGGCCTATTGGGCCGTTTGGGAGGCCACTTGGGCCCTTTTGGGCCATCTTGAGGCCATCTTGAGCCGCCTTGGGTGCACAATGGGCCGTCTTGAAGACATCTTAGGACCAGCTTGGGCCCTCTCGGTGGCATCTAAGCGGTATTGGAGGCCACAGTAGTCGTCTTGGAGGCCACCTTAGGGTCATCTCAAGGGGGATGCCAATAGAGAGCGAATTGTCATGGTGGCTGGCGCATTAGGCCAACAGTTCCTGGGATCTTCACAGGGGCACAATTGCCTCAGGTTCAGCTCGCTACCTGTGGCAAGCCATCAGGGGGCGGCGGATCGAAGACGCCTACGGCGAATCACCACCGCACCTTGCCTTCTAGGACACGCCTACGAGGTCAAATGTTTGGGCAAAGTTTGGCCACGCTATTGGACCATGCGTTATCCCAACCGTTGTGGAAGCCCTTCGGGGAACACGTGGGGGACGAGGAGTAGAGGGAGGAAACAGGAGAAAAAGGGGAGAGGCAGGAGAAGGCGTCTCCGGAGCTTCCGGGACCACCATTGGGGCCTCCTGGGAGCTTCCAGGTTGCCTTTTTTGATGTCCTTGGGGGCTTCCTGGTGCCTCCTGTGAATCAGGATACGCCTATGTGGCCAAGCGTTTGGGTTCCCCCAGCCGTTGTGCAAGCCCTGTGGGCAAATGTGGGGGCGGAAGAGGAGGATGAGGAGTGGGAGGGAGAAGGAGGAGGATCAGGCCTCTTGTGAGCCTCTTGGGGATGCTTGGGGCCTCCTGGGAGCTTTCTAGGGCCTCTTGGAGGCTGCTTGGGGGCCTCCTTGGGCCTCTCGGGGCTTTGGGGGCTTTTTG